GGACCAAGAAAACAGGAAAAAAAAAAGAAAAAGCAGTCCCATCAATGAGCAATACTGCGGCACGAAACATGGACAGAGAAAGTAACCTCAAGATCGCCTCAAACAACCGCACCATCAATGGAAAAAAAAGGGGAAAAAAATATGAAAGAAAAACATAAAATCCGACCTCCCGAGCGGGCGGGCGGGGTGATCGGGGGAATCGTGTCCACAATCGGCAGCGGCGGAGCAGCAGCAGCAGCAGCAGCTGCTGTAGCAGCAGGCAGCAGCCTGCCGCAGATTCCTGCCGTTGTCTGCGCCGCGATCCGCCGCCGCGCCGCCGCGCCGCCGCCGCCTGCGCTCGCCGCCGCCTCGTAGACGACTCCTCTCGAGGAGCCGCGCAGCGCGCCGCGGGTTGAGGTCAAAGTGTGCAGCAAAGTGGCGGTCATGAAATCATCAAAATTTGAGGTTGCTCGAGAGAGCCTGGAAACGGTCCCGAGCCGTAGCCCCGGTGTCGGCGCACCGCCTCTCGGCCGCGACGGGCCGGCTCCGCCGCTCAGTCGAGCAGCAGGGGCTCTGGCACAGTTTTGTCGACAAACTGGTCGAGCCAAAAATTGGCGAGGAAGCGGCACCGGCGGCACGCCGGGACGAATCTGGACCGATTACATTGTTTGGCACCGCGGCGGCGAGCCGCCGCGAGCCCACAGGAGAGCTGGGCGCCGCGGCACCAGACCGCGCCGCCAGCGAGGCGAGAGCTGCAGCCGACCGGCCGTGACATGGCAGTTGCAACGGCGGGATCAGGGGTTCACGCAGCTCAAGGAGGCGGTGGGGGGGCTGCAGGACGGCTTGTCTAGGCCTCTAGCGGCTCATCACAGCGGCCACGAGATCGGCACGAGATCGATTCATCACAGTGATTTCGCCATATCTCCCCATATCTCCCCATATCTCCCCATATCGGTCACGAGATCGACGCATCACAGTGGTGGGGCTTGCGGTGCGTGCTCCGTCCACAGTCCTCTAACCGCTGGCGGTACTGCGGCGTGCGGGCGACAGGACGACCTGCAGCGCAAGTTCAACCAGCGAGCCGCGGCTCTCGAGGCGGCGGACGCCGAGCGCGCCGACGAGATCTCCGCACTCAAGGCCTCGCTCGCGCGCTCACAGGCGGCGGCCGAGGCGACTCTCTTTTCTCCCAGTAAGCTAAAAGTACACACAAGAAACAAGTACACACAGGAAGGGACGCGCGTTGCGGCCAAAGCAACAAGGCCCTGCCACACGTGTCGCAGCATCGCCTCCTCTCTCCTTTCTCCATTGAATACTCGATGGCGGCATTGGGCGTCCTCGCCATCAACGTCAGGACGGTGGCTGGCAGAGACCTGCCCATCCAGGTCACCTCCTCAGCGACCACAATCGGCGCACTCAAGTTCCTCCTCGAGCAGCAGTATCACGACCAGTATCCTGACAGCGTCCCTGTGGCAGCAAACCAAAATTTGATCTTCGCCGGCAATACGCTGCAGGACGACCAGACCCTCGAGTTCTACCAGATCGCGAACGGCGCGACACTCCACCTGGTCTTGAACCTGACCGGAGACATTGGCGAGTGGCTGGAGCCGTCGGAAGCGGACCGGCGCATCCTCTTCGACGCCGGCTCCGCCCTCGCCACGCCACCGTCCGAGGTCGCCGCCATCGTCCGTGCGGCGGCCGGCCCGTCGCCACCGCTCTACGCCAAGCCGATCGGTGGCAAGGCGTTTGAGGAGGGCACGCTGCTCGACAAGTCGTCGTGCAAGCAGCTGGTCGAGCGCATTGAGCGCCACCTCGCAGCAGATGACTCGCCAGACGCGCTGCGCGACATGAAGTTCGTCGTCGCCGAGGGAGAGCTCGCAAAGCTCATCGGCTCCGAGGCGGTGGCTGCCCTGCGTTCGATGGGAGAGGCGCAACTCAAGGCTCTCGGTGCCGACGCCGCAGCGCGCGCCACGTTCAAGCTCCGCCGCCGCGAGGCGATCGCCGGCACGCAAGACGACGTCATCCCATTCCACCGCGACTCGAGCCTCGTCGTCGTCAACGTCGCACTCAACGACGACTTCGACGGTGCGGCGCTGCTCTTTGCCGTGGGCGACAAGATCGTGCGCCCGGCGCGCAAGATCGGCACGGCCACCGCACACGACTGCCGCATCCACCACGCGGTCACCCGCCTCGCCGCGGGCGTCCGCTACAACCTCTACGCGACCTACGAGCGCCCAGTGCCCGCCGCGGCGTAGAGAGGCGAGGAGGTTTGCTTTCGGGGCACGACCACGGATTTTGTGTGCAGTCTGATCTCTCACTCTTCTCACACTGCTCACTCCGTCGATCTCTGCCTGTAAGGTAAGGTAAGGTAAGGTAAACTTCTCCACACACACGAGGTGGTGGAGCAAGGGGGGGCAACCCTCGCGTCTCCACGTCTAACGACAGGAGCCCCACGGCCTTCAAAGTGCAAGGCCCACAGTGCGCGTGGGTGAGCGGTGTGTGTGTGTGTGTGTGTGTGTGTGTGTGTGCGTGCGTGCGTGCGTGTGTGTGTGTGTGTGTGTGTGTGTGTGTGTGTGTGTGTGTGTCACGTCACTGCATCCTCCGCCGGTTCCTCCCGTCGCCTCTTCTTTGTTCGAATGTTTTTCAATCCATCCTTCACGAAGCCCTCCCATGTAGCTAGCGTTCTTGGCGAATGTCTCGAAGTGGCCAGCAGGCGCTGTCTGCGCGGTCTGTGCGGGCCGCTCGTCCTCCTCGCCCTTCTTTCGTCCTCCCGTCCCTCCCCTCCACCATGGCCTCCTGTCCTCGGCACTTCTTTCTCCATCCGCCTCGCCCTGCCTTTTCGTATCGTGCCGTTCGCCCTTCATTCTCCTCCGAGCATTCTATCTCTGCCTGTCTTCTCGAGACTCGACTGTCCGTGCGTGCGAAAAAATAAAGAGAAACCAAATTCATTCCTTGCCACTCACCAAGACGCGCGAATTGACAGGAGAAGATGGTAACAAAGATGAAGAAAAATACCCGCCCCTGGATGTGAGGCTGATGACCTTACAGTACGCTCTACTCCAAGTGCTCCAAGTGCACCGGAGCCAACTACCACGAGCACTAGCTGCGACGTGACAAGGTGACGAGAGTGCCGGCTAGCGCCGCAACCCCCAGCGCCGCCAGCCCCGCTGCCAACAGCCCACGCGTCGCGGCGACGTACCACGCGCTGCCGGCGGCGATGCCACCTCGGGCGTCGGCGACTAGCAGCGCGGCGGGGAACCAGCAGACGAGCGCCGCGCCGACGGAGCCGCCGAGGACCGCAAAGACGGCGTTCAGCCGATGGCGGGCCGCGAGGGCGAGCGCGACGGTGAGCGCGACGATGGCGCCGCTGCGCAGCGCGGCGGCCCGCGCGGGGCAGCGAGGGCTGCAGCAGCGGATGCAGATACTCCAGCAGCAGATGGAGGTGCGCTGCAGCCGCGCGACCGGCGGCAACAGCAGCTCGCTGGAGGGCCCGGCCCCGGCGCCGCCGTCCGTCGGCGGAGCGCCGCTGAGCGTCGGTGGAGAGGCGCCGCTGTGGTGCGGCGTCGTGGAGACGAGCAGCGGGTGCAAGAGGACCGGGTAGGCGAGGGCCTACAGCGTGAGTACGCGGGGTACGAATCAACGGATCCCGCTGAATAGAGCTGAATATAGCCGACTACGTGTTGCCCTCTCAAGTGCTAGTTGGAACACACGGGGCGAGAGCTGTCCGTTTTATCTGCTTCAGTCTTTCTAGGGGCGAGAGCCAAATGCGCGAGCATCGCACCGCCTGCAAACGCAGCAAACGGGTCGTGGCCAGCGGCTGCGCCGAGGCTGGCGAGGACGTCGTTCCGCACGGCGGCCCCGTAACACGCGACGCCGGCGAGCGCGGTGGCCGCGTACAGCGCAGCGCACACAGCGAGGGCGCTCAGCACGGCGCGCACCGTCACACGCCGTGCGGCGGCACCTGGGCCCAGCGCGCGGCGCACCTCAGACGCGACGATCGGCGCCTGCAGGTGGGCGTTGAAGCCGAAGATCAGGAGCGGCGCGCACTCGAGCAGCCGCGCGGGGCTCGAGGGCCACGCGAGGAGATCGAGTGGAGGCTCCGTGCCGTGCGCGCCCGTCGGGCATCGGCTGTCGTCGATGACAGCACGAGCGACGACCACGCCGGAGACGGCACAGACCGCCACGATGGAGAGCGCGCTCGGGAGCCAGAGCGAGCGCAGCGAAGGCAGCAGCGAGAGCGGCCACAGCACGAGGGCGCCCAGTGCGCCGAGCAGCGCCGGCGCGGGGAGGCCGAGTGGGCCTCCAAAGTCTGCAATGGCGACGAGGAAGCCGACCAATGAGCCGAGCTGCTGGAGCACGATGGCCGCGGTTGCGGCGCGTGCGCTGCGCCAGCCGAACGCCTGCTCCAGTATTCGCTCATAGCACCATGCGTGGCCGTCGGCGAGGGAGTGATCAGTGAGAACGAGCATGCCCAGACAGCATGCGCCGAGCACGACCACGCCAACCACTCCGAACGCGGGCAAGCGGCTCGCCGCGAGCGCCCACGGGAAAGATAGGACACCGGCGCCGGCGCAGGCGAGGACGAGGCTGGCAACGGCCGTGAGGTAGGATTGCAGCGCCAGCATACGAGTAGAGCTCACCATGCATGTCACCATGCATGGGGCCGACCAGGGGGACTGGTAAAAAAGAATTTTACGCTAGCTCCCTCGCACAACACTGGGCACGTCCTCCCATCCCTCCCTTGGGTTGTCCGTTTTCTTTCTTTCTTTTACACTGGGCACGGGACTGGCGCGCATTCGTAAAAAAGAATTTTCAACCTCTCTAGCCCGTAACCCGATGCCGATCATCCGGCCCGCTGGGCGCGCTTCTCAGCTCCCCGGCCCTGGATGTGAGGTTGATAACTGCGCACTCCAAGTGCTCCAAGTGCACCATTATAGCTCCGAGTAGAGGGGGCGGTCTGCTGCTAGGGGAAACCCGGAGCGCGGAGCCAGCCCTCGGAGACCCGTGTTTACATTACGGCCCTTTCCCTGCGAACGCGCACTCCCCCTAGGGGTCAGGGCTCTCTAGCCCGTAGCCCGATACCGATCATCCGGCCCGCTGGGTGCGCTTCTTAGCTCCTCGGCCCTGGATGTGAGGTTACCGACTGCACTCCAAGTGCTCCAAGTGCTCCAAACCCCACTCTCTCGCACGACACTGGGCACGGGACTGGCGCGCACTGGCACTAACACAGGTACACCACGGGAGCCGCCAAGCGACTCCTGCGAGGACGGCGAGGCGCTTAGCTCCGTGCAGTCGACCGCCCTCGCCGCAGGCAAGCTCATTCACAATCTGCTCTGCGATGGCCGTGTGAAGAACGAACGACTGAGATGCGCTGCTTCTGCAGCCCCAGCCAGCTCTTGGTGGTCCAAGTCACCTCACACAAACTTTGGAGGTGTGGTGCTAGTATGAGACCGATCTGTCGCAGTTCTCTGCGCTTCGGTCGGCGGTTAGTGGTCAGCAGAGTCCTCCTCCGGAAGGTAAACAAGAAAAAACTGGCGGGAAACGCGGCGGGCGCTAGCGAGAGCAGGGCAGTTCTCAGGGCAGTCCTCGGTCGCAGACATCACCTCCTGCTCTCTCTCCATTGAATACTCGATGGCGGCGGTGGGCGTCTTCACCATCACCGTGAAATCGCTGACCGGCAGAAAGCTGCCCATCCAGGTCACCTCCTCAGCGACCACAATCGGCGCACTCAAGTTCCTCCTCGAGCAGCAGTATCACGACCAGTATCAGGACAGCGTCCCTGTGGCAGCAAACCAACATTTGATCTTCGCCGGCAAAAGGCTGCAGGACGACCAGACCCTCGAGTTCTACCAGATCGCGAACGGCGCGACACTCCACCTGGTGGTCTTGAACCTGACCGGAGACATTGGCGAGTGGCTGGAGCCGTCGGAAGCGGACCGGCGCATCCTCTTCGACGCCGGCTCCGCCGTCGCCACGCCACCGTCCGAGGTCGCCGCCATCGTCCGTGCGGCGGCCGGCCCGTCGCCACCGCTCTACGCCAAGCCGATCGGTGGCAAGGCGTTTGAGGAGGGCACGCTGCTCGACAAGTCGTCGTGCAAGCAGCTGGTCGAGCGCATTGAGCGCCACCTCGCAGCAGATGACTCGCCAGACGCGCTGCGCGACATGAAGTTCGTCGTCGCCGAGGGGGAGCTCGCAAAGCTCATCGGCTCCGAGGCGGTGGCTGCCCTGCGTTCGATGGGAGAGGCGCAACTCAAGGCTCTCGGTGCCGACGCCGCAGCGCGCGCCACGTTCAAGCTCCGCCGCCGCGAGGCGATCGCCGGCACGCAAGACGACGTCATCCCATTCCACCGCGACTCGAGCCTCGTCGTCGTCAACGTTGCACTCAACGACGACTTCGACGGTGCGGCGCTGCTCTTTGCCGTGGGCGACAAGATCGTGCGCCCGGCGCGCAAGATCGGCACGGCCACCGCACACGACTGCCGCATCCACCATGCGGTCACCCGCCTCGCCGCGGGCGTCCGCTACAACCTCTACGCGACCTACGAGCGCCCAGTGCCCGCCGCGGCGTAGAGAGGCGAGGAGGTTTGCTTTCGGGGGGCACGACCACGGATTTTGTGTGCAGTCTGGTTTCACTCGTCGATCTGGGGTTGTCTTCTCGACTGTCCGTGCGTGCGATCTGGGCCCGGGGGAGATTGAGAGCTCCAGGCCCCAAATGATGTGTGAGTGTTAGAGTTGTTTGGAGATAGATTGTGAAAAGAGAAGGTCCTCGCGAAAAGAATTTTACAACAAAGCTCCCTCGCACGACACTGGGCACGGGACTGGCGCGCACTGGCACCAACACTACGAAAAAGAGAATTTTACAACAAAACACTCCCCCCCACAACCCGTGAACTAGCCGTGTTGCATGTCTGACTGTCACTGTGCGATTTCGGGGCCCGGGGTTGTGCGTTTATGTGAACTAGCCGGGGCAGTCGGAGAAGGGGCAACTCCGTGCACTGACGGTCTCCCTCGAGAATCACGAGGT